GGGACTAGAATTCCCTGTCTCCTGGTGATTGGCCCAAAGTCACCCAGTCAGCTTTCATGCCTAAGGTGGGGCTAGAACTCCCAGTCTCCTGGTGATTTGGCCCAAAGTCACCAAGATAGTTTTCATGCCGAAGGTGGGATTAGAATTCACAGTCTCCTGGTGATTTGACCCAGTCACCCAGATAGTTTTCATGCCTAAAGTGGGACTAGAACTCCCAGTCTCCTGGTGATTTGGCCCAAAGTCACCCAGATAGTTTTCATGCCGAAGGTGGGACTAGAATTCACAGTCTCCTGGTGATTTGGCCCAAAGTCACCCCGCTGGCTTTCACGCTTAAGGCAAGACAAGACTAGAACTCACAACCGCCTGCTTTCTAGCCTGGTGCCTTCACCTCGTCTAGACTAAACTGGTTCTTTTATGGAATAATGTCTATTTATCTCATTTTCATGCAAGACAAATTCTTGCATCATTGCACATCCTTCGGTTGCAAGCCCCGGCTTAATTTTGTCTCGCCTGGAGTCCTAACACAAAGGCAAATATTTGTTTTCCAGACCAAGTGGGTCCCTTTGCTTACGTTCTACATTCCTGCGGTTGCACCTGAGACGTCGTAGGAGGCCGGGTGAGGTTTGCGGTGGCAAAAGATTAGAAGGACCCGTGAGCACCGTTTTTCCCAACGAAGGCGTTTCGTTTCAGGCTATCCTGCCAATCAGCCTTCGAATAAAGTTGCTGAGAGGGAAAATTTGCTCCCAGATTCCTTCGGATTCTTAGATCTTATATCTACACACAGGTAAGTCCTCGATTTACGACCCACATTCTGTTGGAAGCGAGACATTCGTTAAAGGAGCCGGGCCCCGTTTTGCACCGCCGTTGTTAAGCGAATCACTGCCTCCAAGGTCCCCTCCGACTCTGTTATTCTATTCTATTCTAGTTGTTAAGAGAGTCACACGGCCATTAAGTGGCTTCCCCGTTGACCTTGCTTGTCAGAAGGTCACAAAAGACCCCTGGACGCTGCGACCGTCATAAATACGAGCCAGAGGTCAAGCATCACGTGATCATGGGCATGCTGCAACGGTCATAACTGTGAAAAAGGGTTGTATCTCACTCTTTCGAGGGCTGTTGTCACTTTGAACGGTCATTAAATGAGCTGTTGTAAGTCGAGGACTACCTGTAGATCAGCTGATGGCTGGGGGATTCTGGGAGTTGAAGTCCACCCATCTTCAAGCTTCCAAGGTTGAGAAACACTCCTGTTGATAGACTTCAACTTACGACCATAAGCGAGCCCAACCTTTCCATGGCTAACAAAAGTCAGTTGTTAAGCGAATCGTGTGGTCATTAAATGAATCCGACTTCCCCCGTTCACTTTGCTTGCCTGTGAAAAGCGTGAATTGATCGTGAAATCATTTTGAAAAACGGTCATAAGTCCCTTTTTTCAGTGCCATTGTAACTTTGAACGGTCACTAAACGAACGGTTGTAAGTCGAGGACTAGCTGTGCGTTGTTCCTTTCGTG